GTCAACCGGGACAAAGGATGCGAACTTTGCACTTACTGGATAAGCTATTTAACCAACAGCGTGGACCAAAAGCACATCTTTCGGCTCCAGATGTTACAGCAGCTGCGGACCACAGAACGAATGGCGGAAATTAACCCTGTCCACCCTGAAGAAGACCCGTGAGACATGAGCGGCGAGGTCGGTCTTGATGTAAGTTTATGCCACCCTATTAACCAATTTACTTGCGTTGTGTATAAATAAACCGTTTTTATACACTTTTCAAGATGGATACTTGTGAAGTGTTTCCCCGAACGTCGTACAAAAATGCCTGAGTGCTCCTCCCTAAGCTGACTGACTCTTAAATGATTAGAAGCTTTTTGACCGTTCAAGGAACGCAGACTAGGAAAAAAAAGAATTCAGAAGGTGCGGATGTTTTGACTGACAGCGAAATTCCAAGAAAGAAACGGCATTCTGTCAGCCTTTTTCTGGTAAAATAAACATTCGAAACGGCGCTCTGACGTTCTGAAGAATAACTGACATTCCATTTGGATTATGTAACCTCAGGTGAAGCACCTGAAGCTAACTGTTGCCCGGACTGTTGAAGTGAAAGAGATGTCAAAAAATGTCTGTTTCATTCTATTCAGTTGAATCGATTTGTATTTATTGTAATTCCGAATAAAACTATTCCTGGAAATGTGGCTGCACTTTGCATTAGTGTGAAATAACGGCCGATATAATTGATAACCAATGTGCATTAGTACATGCTTAACGCGTTGTATTCTTCGTCGATGGTGTTTATCGTTCAGAGCTTATTATCGTACAAATTAACATGAGTGTTTAACTCAATAACGAGTTCTGTCGAACGACTACTTGAAATGAATGCTTAGTGTGATTTAAACATCTTAATACCTAACTCATAAACGCGGCACTCAGCGTTTGCTACACCAGCGGCGCCACAGAGTACGCCCGCGAAAGTTTGATACACAAATTTATGCGTTAACGAGGTAAAGTGAAGTTAATGTTGCGGCACTGACCTCCATTTCAATGTCATCAGGAAGAGGTGTTCTAATCTAAAGGCAGAGTCGACAGCATTCTGCGACAAACAAAATGTGTTTAACCTCGGAAGGAAGAAAACCGAGTGACTCAAACTAGGGACCTCTCGGTTCTAAGCCCGGCACCCTATCGACTGTTCAGCGCCGGTGTGAAGTAACGTTTCGTAAATACGTTGTTCAAGGGAATTCATGGTCAAGACAGAATGCTGCTTCACCTGAATCTAAGGTTCATCTCCGGAGTTTTAACCGACCTTTCAGGCGCTGTGCCACTACCTCTCATCGTAGCCGTTCACCGCCTATCTGTGCTAGTCTATGATCAGTACGCACGGAAGGAAGAGACAGAGACCGTTTCTTCGCGGAATTTAACTTTGTACAATATCACTGACCTCTTCTCGACTGAGTTATGTCTACTGATCCAGTTCATAAAACTTGTCCAATCAAGAGGTGCAGCACTAGTCCCTCATGTCAACACAGCTCTGAAAGCCGTCGTCCTTTCCTAAAATTTACGTTGCAGAATATGCTGATTTTTACTGAACCGGCAGAGCCGTCTGAAACGCAAGAGCACAATTTTGTCATATAGGTCAACCACAGCAGATTTGAGTAAATAAAATGTAACGGTATATATGAAGACAAAAATTGTAGATTATATTTACCGCTGAGCTTTCGCACCACGACACGGCATTCCTTTATCAGCATGACAGTTGAAATATCTTTACATACTACCGGCATGTTTCGAAAATCTGAATCGATGTGTTTTGGCCGAGATAAGCATTATGCTGTTTCCCTTGCAGTATGTGCTTCCATTTGCATGAATTTCGCAATAAACGTTGCACAGAACTAATCTTGATATATACGATCGTGCTACGCGAAGTCAACAGACACTATGACTGTACCTGGTGTGCCGCACTTCTGGTACCGACTCTCATGCATACTTAGAATTTTTGCAGAAAATTAAGTTAGTACCCGAATTTTCGTGTTGAGCATAATGGAGATCCGCTTACGTATACTCAGGAAAAAATTTTTTAAGTTAAGAAAACAACAATGAGAAAACGTCGTTCTTATATTTTACTCCTCAGGCGATCTCAAAGAATTATGAATCACGCTGTCATCAGTATTCTTTATACATCGAAAGGGAGTGTTGACAGTATAATCTTTAATGAAAAGCTAAATAGCAAGCCTGAAAAGAAATCAGTTTGCACAACGCCTAGGTTGTTCGCCATGACACTGGAGCATTTACTATTAATCGTTACTAACTGCTGATTGTGAGAAAATTACGTAGCCAGCCACCTGATGATCGAGCGGTCAAGGATGTGTATTTTCGACTAGTTCGAGAGATTTTATGAGCAAATTAAAGGTCGAGACATCGACCATCATCATCGATCACAGATTGAAAAAGTAGAGCAGCCGGTGTTTGGGCTGCAATAGCCGCCGCAGAAGGAACTTAAAGAAACCGTCCATGGAGTTTTAATGACATTTCTGCAAAACAAGGAGAGTGAGAATGGAGATGTCGATGAAATCCTCCAGTACGTTCATGACAAAGAACGAAGCATGTAAACAATCAGAAAAAAACGAAGAAAATGAATGAGAAGTCGATGAATCCGGAGATACTTTAAAATGAACTTTGAAGAACAGCAAGAGGACTATTTCCTATGAATTATCATTCTGTATTCAGAGGGTAGGCGCGACAAAAACTTTCTTGTACTCCGTTTAGGGGTTAATACGAACGTTGGTCTCCAGCCTTCCGCTTTGGTTTGTGACTGGGCAATCCTTCTTTTAGAAACAACCCTAATGGGCATAACGAAATTTTTATGTAATATTCCTGGTGATCCTAGATAATTATCGGATCATGTCACGGTTTCTGACAGGCGTTCACGAGCTTTCGTAACTGCTCACGTCTATACACTTCACTGAATTTCTAAAACTCATGTGAACCCGTACTTGGTAATTGCTTACTCTTCTCCACGGAGACGTCGAAGTTGAATTTTGGAGAGGAATTCAATCAATACGACCTGTATTTATCTCAGGAACTGCGTCAATCTAAGCTTCTTCAATATATTTTGCGTCACCCTAAAGAATACGCAAATAACCGGAGAAACGGTAAAGATTCATTCCAAAAATAAACACCGAAAGGCATAATTTAAAGGCATAATTTTACATTTTCAGAGGTCAAAATAGGTTTACTTTTCATGGGCTTCTTGTCTGAGCATTTCGATCTGAAAGAAGTTGAGGTTGCTTTAAATTGACTTATGCAACAACGTCGATTTTACTCGTTGCTTCAGCTCCTGTTCTTTCTTCATATGTTTTTCGATTTCTTCTTGCAGCCGAGCCTGAACATTAACACTTTAGCAGTGAATCGGTCTCTTACCCAGTTTACCTTTAAAATAGGGTTTTCCAAAGCAGCCAACTGACTTTGATACACTTCCATCTGATTCTCGTATTCGATCAGATCTGACTGTAGATGCTGAATCTCCATTCGGGCCGGAGTAAGTGGTGGCTTCGCTAAATCAACGTCAGTTTCAGTATAGTGTCTTTAAGCTAAAAACTTCAAACTTACCGGAGTCAGTGCTGTTGCTGTTTTCGTCTACAGACTTCATAAGTTGATGCGCAAGCTGCCTGCCTTCAGCTACCTCTTCGCCCTCACTTCCACTACTTGAGCTCACGGCACCACCAAAAATCTCGTCTTCTCCTTCAATACATAGTAGTGCAGGAAAATCACGCAAGAAACAAACGATGACGAAAAAACCCACTTAAAGATGCTGTTTTTTCTGAAGCTTCAAAGTTATCAGGGGGAAGCGTCGAAACACCCGTCGGCTGGCTACCTGATATGTGTCCTTGCAACATGTCAGATTTTTGTTTGTTTTCTTCCTCGGTAGATATCAGCTCCCATCTGAAAAATAACAATAACTAAATCGAAAATAATACTTCTAAACGAAGTACATGGGGTCACTTTTAGCATAAATAAAAACACCATTCACAAATATGAAATCAGAACATCATTCTTCGAAGAACTGACAATTGTTGCAATCACAGTTATGACAATCGCGACAATGAATGAACAAAGCAAACAAAAGGAAAAACAAGACCATAGACCATTATTTTGTGTCATGCTGTAATCACAGAGTAGTACTGCTGTGTTGATAAGGTTTGAGCGTTTAAAACATATGACTAACTTAGTAAAAGGGAGATAGACGAAAGCATCACAGAGAGCAAAAAAGCATCTAAGAAACCGACTACGTGAAACTCACGGCTTAAAGATTTCCTGTGGATGCGAAAAATACTCTGAAAAAGACTCTATCCGAAACTGGAGAAGAAGAAAACGACGGACGATTACAAATTACTGAAAAACAGCCGGTGCATTTAGCATACGATCGAATATACAGCAACGCGTGGCTGAATTAAGATACGGTCTAGCATGTTTCTTTACTGATAGGCATTTGTAAATTTGAAAACCATCGGCGACGGGCACCAAATAAGCGTAGTTTTTAGACTGAGTATTTGGTACTGCGTTGGTGGTTATGCTGGAAACAGCATAAAACACGGTGTTTATACACAATGTAAACACTTTGGCCAATCAGGTGACCGATCAGTACCGACGTCTCACAAACCTTCAGATTAGAGAGGTGAAATTAACTTCGGATGCCCTATAGCAACTTCGTGCAATAGCAGTAATCACTTTGGCTTACGTCTGTTGGCACATTCGGGTCTTCTGACCACTGCACTTGCATATCGTCCGGCAAGCTGTTCGAAACTCGCTCTCAGATGGTTAGTGCAAAACAATCTACGAATATTAAGGCAATGTTTTATTGGCCCTGACAACATCTCATGATTTAACGCTGAATCAGAAACTATGGACAAGAGTACATTTCAAAATAATGACATAGACAAACATGTTATTTCGTACCCATGCCCTTAATGATAGCTATTTTAGAAGCAACGGGTGTTCATTTACAAGTACTGCTGTAAAACTGACGTGATAAGATCGCGAATACAAACTCGATAATTGTCCGCTGGTCATATGGTTGGGGAAGAGAAGTGACGGTGAAATTCGCCGGCTAAACAACGTGTT